GAACTGGAATTGTGGATAATTGTTAGTCGCTACCTGGGTGCTGGGAACTGAACCCAGGTCCTCTGCAAGAGCAGCCAGTGCTCTTAACCCCTGAGCCATGTCTCTAGTCCCCCCAAAATGATTAAGTTCTCACCTCAAATCAAAATGTTCCTATATATCTTCAGTCTTCTGAACATCTACCATGTCAAATACACATCCATTTCCACATACAATTCATTGCAGCCTGGCATGCTTTATCATCTCCGTTTTCTTACCATATCTCCAATGCTATTTGGATGGCGAAAATTCATGTCTCTCCAGCATCATGTTGCTTTGATCGATCTTCTTTCTCTAATGAGGGTAAAATCTCTAGCCAATGGCTCTGTGATTGTAACAGAAAGTTGAAAACTATGAAAGAGCTTAGGTTTCCATTGAAAGAGGAACGCGTTGTTTACCGATTATGCGTGGACTCGTCTCTCACATCTAAATGTGTGCACACTTGTTCACACTCCAGACTCTCATAATTTAAAGCTATTTCTTTATGGAGTGATGACTTATGAGTCCAAAATTTAGGCTTCCAAGGAAAACATTTCCTTATTTATGTACTTGTCGATGTGATTAATTTTCTGTATTTAAGATAAGTATGAAAACCTTTCCGGGAAGATGTCTGTGAAGGACTAGCATTCGTTAGTCTCGGTTTCTGTTCAATTGTCCTTGTCAGGAAGAAAGGGTTGATCTACTGGAATGGAAACATAGATGCATTTGTAAGGGAGATGCTAATGTCACATGGCTTCTTTCCACATAGGTGAGTGGAAATCCCATTTTCTTTGTCTTCAAAGCCATAAGCCTTCTGTTTGTGGCTTTCTTCTAAGTACTTAGTGTCACTGAAATGGGATGCTGATAAGCTGTATCTCTTCTGCACTCAAAATATTTTTTTCTAATAGGGCAGCTGCAGTTAGGGTAAGAGAGTGTCATTTATCTTTTCCACACATCAGTTCATAGCTCCACAGATCTCTTTTCCAAGTCCTGGATCCAACTACAGACCTGCACTAAACATATGTTCGTGGATATTTCAGATGCTTACATGCCCTACACTAAATTCATAACTTACACCCCCAGACCACTTGCTTCTAGCCCTAGAGATGAAGACAAATTGAGAAATAAACAAATAAATGGCAGATAGAAACCAGTTATCATTGTTGTGCCCTCTGGGGAGTCCAGGCTGTCAGAGTCCTTGTAAAGGTCCTCCCTTCACCTGGCAGAAAGGACATGGACAATCTTGTACGTTTGGTGCATAACCCAGAAGTAAAACTAACCAGTCTGCTGTTCACATTTTACGGGCCAAATTAGTGGCTGTGCCAAATTCCCAGAAGCCATGTGCCCAGAGCGGGGAATGGAGGGGGATCTCGGTGACGGCCACAGTGCCTTCCAAGGTTGGCAACAGTCAGTCTCGCTCTGCTTTGGTAAACTTTGCCTTCATATCCCTGTCTACCGCCCTCCTCTCTGTTCCCACTCTCAGATGAAGCCTGTGAGATGAGGCTGCTGGGTTGTAAGGGAGCCATCGCAGGGTCTCAGCCTGGAGTTCCCTTCCTTGAGTTCTCCCCATAGGCTGAGGAGAATTTGCTTATTATGATTTACTTATTTTTCATGGGAGTTAGGACTTCCCTGTTTCCCTGGGCTGTATTCTCATCTATCTTTAATCAAGTTATTCCTCCAAATTTTAGTCCTTGGCATTTAAAGGAAAAATTTTAGTGTTCAGAAAGCTGCTTTCTTCCTTAAGGAGATCTAACTTTCAAGACCATGGCTTTAAATGTGAAGTCTAATTTGAAAACAAACCTGAGTAATATTCCTTTTGTTCTAGGCAAGAACTGAACTTTCCCTGAAGAAAATGTTATTGTAATGTGTGAGAGGGTATAGGACAAAATTTAGAAAGGACTGAGAAGACATCTGATAGCAATTTTTAAAAATGTTATGTTCACTGCACCTGTTTCTCCCTCAAGATTTTATGAGATCAGAGGCCACAGGGTCTGGCTCATCATTGCCGAGCAAAAATAATGTAAGAATAAACAGAGGCTAGAACGATTAGCATGGTGGGGCATTGAGAACACCACTTACAGGAGTAGATTAGTAACTCAGAATAAAATAAGGATGAAATTATGAACCTTCACAATATAATCTAGGCTCTAAAGCTGGTCTCAAGCATAAATGACTGAGGATGTGTCTCTGCCAGCAGAGAGTGACTGTGGTGGAGAGATATCAGGTGCAGATAATCTGTGGGACATGGAGAATTTCTGAGAGTGTTCTGCCTCCAACAGTGGGGGTGTGTGCCAGGTTCCTTGAGAGGGAGACAGTGGAAGCAAGCACAACTTCTGGGGGTGTACACCAGGGAGAAGCCAGGGTGGGGTGGGGTACTGTCCTGTGGACCTGCTGCAGGGCGGGGTGGGGTACTTGGCTGGTGGACCAGATGCAGGCTGGGAGCACCGTGGGTGGAGAGTGGTAGTGACTTCACAGTAGCCAGCATGCCTCCAGCACTGTTGAGGTCAAGGACTGCTCTTAGAGATTTGGGATCACAATCCACTAGGGACTGTGGAGGAAATTCAGAGGGGACTGGAATTCCCCTGCAGTGAGTGGGGCCAGGGGTCATCAAGATTAATGTACATACTCTGAATTGTCCCCAGGACTGGGGGACTTCAGCAAGCCAAGGTCACAGGCAGAGGTTAACTGCTCCATCCTACCAAATTTCTCTCTCCCTGGATGACCCAGAGAAACAAGACCACTTCTGTGGGAGGGAAACACTACAAAAAGCTCCATCCTACCAAATTTCTCTCTCCCTGGATGACCCAGAGAAACAAGACCGCTTCTGTGGGAGGGAAACACTACAAAAACTGTCTGTAGGGATTGCCCTAAGAAATAGGCCTCTGTGTTCGCTGGGATCTGGAGAGAATGTCCTTGAATTCATCTCTTACCAGCCACAAGAAGGTAGACCAAAGAGAATCGCGGCATGGATCTGGCTGTGCTAAAACCCCATGAGCAAATTTTAGCTTTCAGTTGATAACTGTGTGATACTGATTTCATATCAAATCCAAAATATTAATTTCTCTGCTGTGATTGGGTGCAAACTACAGGATTTGATATTTGAAGTTTCTTTTCATTTAAATTGTCATGGGGCTTAATTTAAAGGAAGTCCCAGCTGGTTCTAACCATAGGGCGAAACCTCTTTTTTTGGTTCTCAGAAGCCCGTCTAGCCATATTTCACATTTGTCTATGAAAAAGTAAACCCCAGTTGAATGAATTTTCTCCTTATGGAGCTATGCATGACTTTGCTTTTAAAAGCCATGCTATAGAAGGTGATTGAACTCAGTAACTGTAATCTGTCATTTTCTCCACTTTTCTAGACTAATGAAGAAGAAATGGAAATGTTTGACGGTGGTCTTGGAGTAAGAACTTTTGAAGTGTGGCTTGAGCTCACTGACCACCTCACAGGCCAGTCTACAGTTCATTTAGAGCATAGTTCTTAGAAATAACCGCAAAAACATGGATGCCCAGTGAATCTTGTAGGTTCTGGGTGTAAGTCTGACATGGTCTTAGTTGATCTGTTGCTGTGATAAAAACACTGACCAAAAGCAACTTGGGGAAGAAAAGGGTTGATTGGCGACACGTCCAGATCCTAATCCCGCCCTGAAGGACGTCAGAAGGAAGTCAGAAACTCAAGGCAGGACCTGGGCCAGCATCATGGAGGATTGCTGCTGGTTCACTCGCTGGCCAGCTCCTTGGTTCATGTTTGGTAACCCTTTGGTTTTACAACCCAGGGCCACCTGCCTGAGGAATGGCTCTGCCCCAGTGGGCTGGGCCTCCTCCATCAATTTGTAATCCCTCCCAGACCTGCCCACGGTCCAGTCAGACCTAGGAACTTCCTCCGGTGAGGTGTCCCTTTCAGATGACTCTACGCTGTCAAGTTGACAATGCTATGAAGGTACACCTGACAGTTTTTGCTGTTTACTTTCTGCTGTTGGATTAGCCCAGAACATCTTTCTCAAGCAAGCAAACAAAACATAAAACATCAACCAAAACCAAAACCAAACAAACACAAATTTCATTGTTTATTTTAGTTCAAATTTAACCCCTATATCCTGTATCTTATTTGGCAACCCTAATTTGGAGGAAATGGTTGCTTGCCATGACACTAAAAGCACCATTAGTAATTTTTTTTAGCCTGCATTAAGCTGTCAATCTATTCACGCAAGTGTAAAACAAATTAAATAGCCTAGGAAAAGATTGTAATAATCCACCCTGGATTTTTTTTTCTCTATCTACATTTTTCTTTGCATAATACTGACATCTGTGTTACTTGGGATAGAGGATTTGTTGTGAATTACTTTAGGATGGAGTATCTCAGGATTTTGTCAATGGAATCATTTCACTAGAAATCCCCAGTGCACATCCCTGCCTTGGGGGCTTGGGTGTGCCCAGTGAAAGGAAGGGGCCAGAACTTAATTCATAAGTTGGCTCCCATTTATACCCGGATGTTTTAAAGATGGAAATAACTATTTTCATCAGTGGGATTGTTAAAACTATGGGGGTGTTCAGAGATGGACTAAATACAGTTTGCACTATGAGATAAAAGTGAGTCCTCAGGAGCCAGGGTGCAGTGGTATGATTTAAATGACAGGTTTGGATGCCACATTGACCAAGTGGACTTTTGATGATAAATCTTCAATACCAGCCAGACTAGATTTAGGATTACTATGGAAACATACCTCGGGGGCATATCTATGTGGGTGTTTGCAGAAAGGTTTACCTAAAGAGGGAGGGGCCACTCTTGAGTGTGAGGTGGACCATCCTCAGGTCCTGAAAGTGATCCAAACAGCAGCATTTATCTCCCTCTGCTTCCTGGCCACAGATGTAGCGTGAGCAGCCACCTCAGGCTCCTGTGGCCACCCTTTCTCACCACAGTGGACTGTACCCCTCAGTCTAAACCAAAATAAACATTTCTTCCCTTTGGTTGCCTTTTGTTAGATATTTTGTCACAATGACAAGAAAAGTAGCTAATAGAGTCATTTAGAAAAAAAATTAAAAAATCCCATATCTAGCAGTTTTTCAACAGAAGTCAATCTAAAATTTTATGCAAAATCTTCTATTAGTTGCTAGGATGGCAGAGTCAGTATGTTTGATGTTGTGTCCGAGCAAGCACTGGGCTAGCAAAGAAAACACAAAAACCACACGCATGGGCTGGATGCAGTCTGTGAGTGTTGGCTCTCCCAAGTGCAGACTGGAGATAACTCTGCCTCCCAGAATGCAGGAGCGGCAGCCAGCGACCTAGCGACCTAGCACAGCACCACCTGCCTGAGGTCCATCGCAGGCTCCCCATGCTCAGCTGGCCCGTGAAGCCTCCTTTCGTCTCGCTTTGCTTTCTTGGTTGGCCTTCTGGCCCACCAAGCTCAGCTTTGCTCTCTGGTCCTTTCCCTTGATCAGTTCAGGTTGTGGATCTTGTCTGAGCCTCACCTGACGTGGCCCTTACTTAGGGCTTTTATTTTATTGAAGGCGTTTCTATCAGTGGCTGATGTGTGTGCATCATTCTGTGTTTCAGGCGTCCCACACCGTACCCACTGTTGAGTGTCATGGACATCAGCGTTTCTCTCTGTAGTACATGGTAAAATCTGAAAGACAGTCAACAATAGTCCTTTGGCCTTTTCAGTTATAACCATCATCATGCTTTCAAGTACAGAGTATTTGTTAATAAATCAACAAATGGCCAGGGATAGCCCATGCCCAGGGGTAAAGGAAGGTGAATTTCACGCTAGTCTCTCCTTGAACAGCCTTGAAGCTGGTGTAGCTTTAAGCATTTATATCAGGAGTAATTATTCTGCCTATGTTTATAATATGTAGAGATACAAATGTGACCTCAATGTACATAGACACGCACCATTTTTAAATTTTCAAAGACATTTATTGATTACTTTGGATGAATACGTGGAAATTTGAAATTGCTGAATTATTTCACTTTGGATGAGAGCTTTGTGGCCAGCTTACTTAATCTCCTCCACATTCCTGTCACACAAAATAGTTTTTAATCTTCTCAACTCACAACTGTCTAAGTCCTTGCTCATGCGAGTTGCTCCACGAGCCAATTCTAAGCACCACTTTCTTCCTTTAAAGTTCAACTCCCACCCATCACGCAATAATCGGTCTGGATGAGTGTGCACAAGCCATATGAGTGTGTGAGGGGCAGGGGCAGAGCTTAAGAGCTTGAGGTGGAGTTACCTGTGTGATGAAATGTGGTGAGTATTAAGCTAAAACAAAGTCCAGTTGAGGATCCACATTCTCCAGACAGCTTTGCATTGTAATTACCATGTAGGCGACCATATCCAACTATAGTTTGGTTATTGATGACGACACTGTGCCTTGTTTGCTTTCGTTCCTAGAGGCTGGACAGTGCCAGTGCATGTCTGTTGAGTAGTTATCTTTGAACACAACAACGAATAGATATGTGGATGTAAGAATGAGTAAATATAGATTAAAAAAAAAATGACTGAACTTTCGTCCAGTTCTTCATTAACCTCACAGCTACTTTCTCCAAAGATAGGAAGGAGATGAGTTTTTTCCAGTTTCACATGAGGAGGCTTTCTGCCACCCACACATGTCTATTTCTGGTCTCCCTGAGAGGAATGGGTACAGTGAGGGGCACATCCCATGACGGCCTCTTAGAGCCTCTGCTCCCCTCCCCTCCCTCAGGATGTCATCAGCTTCTTGGCTGTCACTCAAGGTTGTGTTTCCCTCCTTTCTTGTGATACTATAATGGAATTTGTAGTTTGAATTATTTATTACTGGCTTAGCAATAGGAAAAAAAAAAACAAAAACGCTTCTCTCTGATGCCACATCTCAAGAAAACCCAGAGCTTGGCCTGTAGATAAAAACCAAAAGAGGGATGACTCTAGATCACGGTCCCTTGTCTGCCATTAAGAAAAAAAAAAAAAAAAAAAAAACACTTCTCTCTGATGCCACATCTCAAGACAAGAAAACCCAGAGCTTGGCCCGTAGATAAAAACCGGAAGAGGGATGACTGTAGATCACGGTCCCTTGTCTGCCACGTGTAGCAGGAACTAGCTGTGGTTTAATCCTGAGGGCAAGAGGAACATTTATCAGGGACAGTGTAGTACGGAGCCTCACCATAACACACATCACCAGTGCCTGGCAGTCATTTGGTCATGAAGCTCAGAAAATGTGAGCTCATCAGATAAGAGATTTAGGATGATGGTGGTGAAGGTACTCAGATGTGTCCACCCATCCATTAGTGGCATAAAATACGCCCATTTCTGAGGATTGGGGGATGCCTACACCAAGCTTCGTGGAGAAGTCATGTTGAAACCATGTTCAATGACCTGGAAGCTAAATTGTCAAATCAAAGGAAAGAGAAATGATAGGCACAGGAACAGCAAAACCATCAGATCGTATGCGATTTTCTGAGGGTCAATGATTTCATGTTTGCTGAGGCCCATGGAGCATACAGACCCTAACACTTATAACCATAATAGGGTCTTAGGAAAATCAGTGTCTAGCTGGCAAACCCCTTTTCTTGAAAGTATGAGTAAGGAAGAGTCGAGACACGCCTAGATCTTGCCCAGAACAACAAAAGCCTTACTATTACGGTAATAGAAACAGGATGCGGCCCATAGTGATCATGTGATTTCAGAGAGAAAAGGCGTCATTTGCAACTTGAAGGTGACCGGCTGGAAGGCTGGAGGAGTTGGGGCACAGCCAGAGCTTTTATCTAGTGCAAGAAGAGAAGGTCCCCAAAGGAAGGTCCTCACGTTTGTGTGACTATTCCTGGCAAATTTATGGAGCACTCACTCTGGGGGGAGGCCTGGGATAGTGACTTGAGAATGTGTGGAAGGCAGCTGGTTCCGTCATCAGGGTCAGAGGCTCTCAATGACTTCTTCTGGGACTGATGGCTGTAACTCAAACCACGGATGCCAGCACACAGTAAGGCAGTTTACTAGAGTGATGTTTATGTATCTTTAGAAAGGAATGGATATTAGAAAGTGTTAGGCTTGCTGTGGACAGCTGTCCTCTGGACACGATAAAACCATTTTCCTGCTATACTGTTGTAGCTCTGATGACCCATAGAGGCCCACGTTCTCCCAAGGATACGTGCGTGGCTAACAGTTGTCGAGCTCAGCAGAGCCTTTTCCTTGGTGGTATGGCTGCCTGTAAGGTCCGTGGTCCTTCAAGTAACCCCAGATAATGTCATTGGTTCACCAAGCTAGCCATGGGTGGAGTCATCTCTTTGGTCTGTCATCGGTGCCCTGTGTGGGGGTAACAGACATTGTTCTTGTGACTCCAGGAAAAGTCAAGGCGACAAGACTTCACCTTTCAAATTGTGTAAGACGGCCTCATACAGCCTCATGGTAGGTACGGTGGTTTATGAGACCCAAGTGAGTGGTGAAGAAATTCAAAATGTTTTTGATGTAACTAATATCCTCTGTCAGAGCTCTGTGTCTGTATTTGTGCATTTACTTATTTAAGGAGCATTTATCAAGGGCCACCACATCCAGCTCTGCTTAAGGCCTGAGTAGCACACATCTTCCTAAACTGCAGCGGAGCCTGCTGTACAGGTGGAAGAGCTTTCTGTGTGTTTCTCTACAGGGATTTTGTTTGGTTTAGTTTAGAAAATTAAATTTCATAGCCTGTGTTAGTTACATGTCTGTTGTTGGGACCCCAAACCGGCAGAAACCATGCAGGACTCACCTTGGCTCACTCTTTCAGAGAAGCCATGGTGGAGGGGCCGTCACCACAGCAGCAGCAATGTGAGGCGTGCAGGGTCAGCCTCCACTGTAAACCTAGATGAGCATTTTCTAGTTCTTGCCCCTGGTGGCCCAGGTCTTCTGTGTGCGTTCCATTTACATTTAGAGTGACTTCTTTACGACTTAATACCCTCTTCAATGTGCTTCACGAGTGCCACATTTTGGGAGACAGACTAGTCCTCCCGCTCAAGAAGCAATGCATATTTAAACATCCTCCTTAGCCTCACAGTGGGGTTGCGTCCTCATAACCCCATGTCACAACCTGAAATGTGGTGAGCTGAAATGCACTCAGTACACATGACCTACTGAGCACAGTACTGAATGAGTATTGTCCTGAATGTCCTTAGCTATGGGGAAAAAAATCAAAATTTAAAATCCAAAGTACATGTTCTACTGATTACATATCACTTTTAGGCCTTTATAAAGTTAAGGAATGTAAGTCAGCCACTGTAATTCAGGCATGATTGTTTATTTTTTGCCTCATGTTTAAGAACGTCTCATGTGTGCTAGCTCTTTGTTCCCAATTCAGGATCTATTCCCTAATCCATCTATCTGACTATTAAATGAGACAAATTTGAAAATGAAATTATTTTAAAAAAGCAGTTTTTATAGTTAGCTGTCCTGGGACACTAATTCATAATTTAATATAACAGTAAAGACATTGAGTGACTGCACTGTCTCTGGTGGGACGCTTGCCTTGGACGTCTGTTTCATTATGAGCTTGGATACCTTGTTCTGGGAGGGAAGCCGGGTAACAGGACTAAAGGACTCTAGTTCCAGCTGTTAAATCACACATGTTATCTGGTTGCTGGGCACATGGTGACCTGCAGTTATGAAAAGGTTGGTGCTCAGGGAGCCGCGCTGAAGGTGGTGGAGGGACTGTGCACAGCCTTCCCCGTCAGCACACCGATTCTGATGAAATGATTTCGATGCCGGGTTCAGGTTTACACCAGTTAATGGTTCTCAAAATCAAAAAGATATTCTCCCTCTCTCCCCCTCTCCCTCCCTCTCTCTCCCTCCCTCTCTCTCCTCTCTGCCCTGTTACACAGGAGAATCAAGGCGGCAGGTGCTGACATGGAGTCAAGGCCTCTGTATATCTTGGCCCTTTCGTTTTTGTATTTTCCTTATAGTAACAGGCCGGCTGCTAACACCAACCTACAGAGAGTTCGGTCTGCATTCCGAGGGAAGAGGCTAGGTGGGACCCCTGCCCACAAGGACCAACTGGGTGTTCAAACACAAAACCAAACATGCAGAGCCTAGCTGCTTTCCTAAAGGTAGACTTTCTACAAAAGACAGGGTGCTTGTTTTCTTTGTTAGAATGGCTCACAGAAACTTCCAGATGCAGAGGAGATGGAATTCAGCATTCTTGTGAGGATGCAGACAAGGAAAAGCTGCGGGTGCTAGGCGTAAAGACCACCTTCCACACTCTTCACAACCCCGGCAGAGCATTTAAGAGCCTGTTCCTAAAAATAGTTTCAACTTTGTCATCCGAAGTCAGGGTGCTGAGTTCCAACACTAGGCCTGGCACATTCTACCTGCGTGTGTATTTGGGTAGTGACTTAATCTTGCAATACTTCAATTTCCTCGCTTATAAATGGGACTGTTAGTATTCTCTCTCCCAGAGATTTACAGTCCTGACCATATCAGTTGGTATGAGTCAGCACTTTGAACAGTGCCCGCCATATGGCAAGAATTTTACAAAGATTTTACCCAATTTTGTTATTTCTACCAACACCCCCAAAGTGGGGACAGCCCAAAATGAAAGAACAGCGTTTAGTCAAACTGTGACATTGGGAAGATCCTTCCCTCGCTCTTGGCACTTCCGTTCTCCCAGCCCGAGTCCTCAGGCTTCACCA